GCTGTGAATAAGACAGTATTGAAATCTTAGGTAATTCCAACACACGCCTTAATTTTGAATGCATCATTCATGAAAACCTAATGAAGAGGAGATTAGAAAACTCCCGGGTCGGAAAATGAGTCGCACTTTCAACACGTTTGGAAAGAAAAACATAAAAAGGGAAATGCAGGCTTTCTTAAATGAAGCTGACATGGATGCGATATTGCTCACAGCTTATTACTACCAACTGGGATACTTCATAAAGAACTCTCCGTCCTACCAGCTGTGACTGCCTTTCAAGCTGATAGCCGTGTGAAAAATTGATGCCGCCCGTTAGCATCCACTTGTAAGAAAATGTTTTATGATTGAAAAGTAAAGATCTTGCGAGCACGCAGACAAACCCCATATGTATCAATATCAAGAAATTTCACTGCAGGCATGTGGCTGTAATTATCCTTTTTTTTTTTTTTTTTGCAGTTCGAGGCACAAGCCAACCTCTATCCCTTAGGATAAAGAGTTAAAATTGACATTTTTAGGCTTCCTTCTTATCTACATCTTAGCAGACTCAATCGACACCCCTTGCATTTATTTGATTTTTTTTTTGGGTCTGTGGCTCGACCTTATACCAAATGTCGTTGTACCATGTTTTATAATAACGACAAAGTTCTTGATCTTTATGATTTTAATGATAATTCACTTTGTGTGCCAGCTTATAAACTCTTGTTTATTGACTATTTTTTCATCTTAAATTATTTCTATAATAACAGCAAGCCTTTCTTTGTTATCTTTTACCTTGTTTTAAATTATTTCTATAATAACAGCAAGCTTTTCTTTGTTATCTTTTACCTTGTTTTGTTTCATTTTTGCTATATTTCTGCTAACATTTTGCGTCTTCTGGCTAACAGCAACAGCAGCTTATGGGCTGCTTATTCTGGCTTCAAAACAGGTATTGCCTAGCTAACAGGCTAGCTATTTCTGGGTTGTTTGCGTCTTCTGGCTAACAGCAACAGCTATTTCTGGGTTAACAAATGCCTTGTTTGCTTTAAACCTTGCTTCAAACTGTTTGTTTCTTATAAAAACCTAGGCCATTTTTTAGCTTTTTAAATAAAAGATATGAATATGTCTGTGAAGATTCTCATTCATCCAGGTCATGTTATCCATAGAGTTTAGTTGTTAGCAACTGGACTTTTTCTTTGAGCTTGAAAGACCATCAACTGAGGAACCTCCTCAGTTTCTGGTTGATGTAAGTGGGAACCCTAGTAGTTAGACTTCTCCAGACCACTCTCTTCTCCACTTGACAAAGGAGTCACAAGTCAAGGTGTGAGAGACAGGTGACTGCTTCTGATGTCACATGTCAATGGGAGTCAATAATAATGGGAGTAAATACAGAAGGACCTCGGTTCAAGTCCACCTAGTACCCCGTCTCGACACAACCGATATCAATCGGCATGTCACGCAAAGCTAACATGAGCATTGGACTTAGCTATAATATCAGGTGGGCTACATATTTGTTTTTCTACGTTCGATCCTGTGGCGCTTTGGCCCAGGAAATCCTTTGGAAATCCCGTTTAGGGCGGTTGGCAAGGGGCTCGTGCAGTGATCAAATCAAGCCATCCCTAAGCTCCAGCTACCTCAACGGCTAGGAGGGTTTTGTGAGATACATTCAGCCCGAAAACATTGGCACATTACAATCCCGACTACCACTGCGTTCCCCCCTTTACAAATAGAAAACATGAAAGCGATTCTTTTCTGTGTATTGTCTCCACAGAGCTGAGCAGACTCTGCCGTAACTCTACCCGACAGCCGTGTGAAATGAGGACAGGAACAGGAACAGGAAGAGTTATAGAGTCGAGAGAAAATGAATATAGGAATTATACAATCAAACCAGGGCACTGCCGCTGTTCTATTTGAGAAAATGAAAAATATGTAGTAAAACTGGCAAAACAAATACTGATAACTTAAGTGTTTTGTATTTTGGTCTCGTACGGTCATAGAGATGCTCCGGGGTCCAATTTCAGCCTCGGTGTGGCTTGCCAATGATACATTATGACCATGATTTATCGTGATAAATGGTGATTAAGCCACAACACACACGTGAGAAATCTGACGAAATAAATTCTCAGCCGACCAAATGATTCCCTTTTCCTTATTTCTAAAATAACATTTTTTACAACAACAAACGTCAAACGGTTCCAAATCCTCTTCTGTTGCATATACCCCTGGAGATTCTCACCGATATTATATATGCACGTGTTGTATTAAACTGGTAGACCATATGAATATAACACCCCCCCGAGGCATGATTTAATTAAAATTAGATGTATTGATATTAGAATTTTAACAGCCTGTATGGCGTGATCATAATGAAACACGACAACGTGATTTATTTAATGTAGCCACAGGTGACACTGCTTTATATTAAAGCTGGAGCTGGTTCCGCCACAGTCTGCCACAAATGTGGCCTTACGCAGATATAAAAACATCTCCCCTATGAGAGGAGAGGAGAGGAGAGCGAGGTGAAGAAGTGGCAGCAACATGGCCTGGTATTGGCATAAGTGACAATATGCAGCAGTAAGCCTATTGGCCGGCAGGGTTGACTCCGATCACGCAACATCTTCATCCCCCGGAGCCATTTTTAATCTGCTTTTTTTTTTTGACTCGAGGAGAGCGATGCTAATGCTAGCATCTAGACGCTAGATGCTAGTGAAAGCAGGAGAAGCATCTGGAAATTATTTATGACCACTTTTTTTTTTTTCCCCACTTACAAGAACGCGCCTTTAATTTAATCACCAAAATGGCTGGTTACATCGGCTTCATACTCTGTGTGCGCGGCGTTATTGACAGCAAGGTCCGATACCACTTGTGTGTATGTTTGTGTGTGTGTGTGTGTAAGTGAGTGTGCAATGCTTCTTCTGATGAGATTAGTCAGAAAGAGAAAGAGAGGCCGAGGTGCCTCACCCTGACTCCACCACTTTATTGATCTTAACAAGCTCCATTTCCTCCCCGCATTTGAAATTAGAAGATGCCCTGCTTTCACACACGTCACGATTCCTCCATCATACAAGACGCGCATGGACGTCGAGCTCTTACGTTGTCTTGTCATTAGAACACCACCGATTTACAGAGATGGACATGTTGACATCAGCTTAGACCGATGTAGAAAATCTTTTGTCATTCAGCACAATACAACCTCTCATAGGACGCAGGAGTGACAGCGTAAAAAATCACGACTGTGATGAAATGTAGCCTGAGATTAGCTAGTAACTTTCACTTTCATATAAAGCTTTTCAAAACAATTTTTAGGGCACACATAAATTGGTAAAACCCAGGCATTAACCCATGCGTTATCGGGTTTTCATTATCGGAGGAAAAAAACGATAACGATTCTTACAGATATTACATAAGTATGCTGATACCAGGGCGATAACATCGGTCGGCCGATATTAGCAAAAGTCAACCAGAGGTAAACGCAACGCTGCTTCATCACTCACGACAAAGTGCAGTTGTTTAAAATTGTGTGGTGTTTTAATCATATTTTAAAAATAAAAGAAAATTTTGAACGACCCCACATTGGGTCACGACCCCAAGGTTGAAAAACACCGAAACACAGTGTGTATGCCTTGCTAGTGAGCCTGATGTTGAGATCACCGAAACACAGTGTGTATGCCTTGCTGGCGAGCCTGTTGTTGAGATCTGTTTTCTATTAAAAATGTATGATTAAGATTTAAGAGTCTTTAATAGTAACAGTATTTTTTTAGAGGGTAATAAAACAAAACATAAAGCTGAAAACACCACTGGAAAAAGTGTAAAAATAGTTTGCACCAAGACGTGACGTTAAAAGTAGAAAACACACCACTTAACTTAAGAATAGTCTTAATAATCTTAATAAGATATGAATGCCTGCAAGAGTGAAGTGCCCGGTAAAAGAGTAGTAGCAGTACAGTAACTGATTAGTTATGATTAAGTTAAAGCACTTCGACTCTATTTCTATCCCACTTCCTGGTAGCGGTAACATGGTCTTGGTCTTTGCAGACAAATTTGTGAATATATTAAAAGATAACTGTACTGTATTTGCTCAGAGTTGTAGTTTAAATATAGCTAAATAAAAAAAAAGCCAAACGGTATGAAATGTGTCAAAATGTTGCTAAAATTATACCATATATTGCAGATATTAAACACAATGACACTACAAAAAATTTTATGTGTCAAAATGTTGCTAAAATTATACAATATATTGTAGATATTAAACACAATGAAACTACAAAAAATTCTATAAGAAGACATTGCAACATAGCGACACGTTACCCAAAACTAGCCATAAATTAGATCAACCCTAATAGGGAAATGTAGCTAATGAAAGTCTAATAAGGTATCTCAACAATTTTGATGTAAAAAAAATCTGAAAATTGCTGTAACTACGCAAATAAACTAGGTAAAACCAGTTCATGTCTATACTTTGCTAAAGAGTTGCTTAAAATTAGCCACCCCTCTAAATAGTTTACATTCACAATTTGAGTTATAATGTTACAAATGGTCAACCAAAGGAAAATCTGTTTAGGCACACATTTAAAAGTTTGCAAAAAAGATCACAATATACCATTCTATTAGAGAATATAGAGATAAAAGACAAAGTTAGCCAATGTATTAGCATATTTTAGCAGGTCTTAATACGCTAAAATTAAATTGGAATCGTACACTTCTTAAAAACAATTTCATCAGTTCGGGATCAATGAAGTTCATTATCGTCTAATCTAAATCTGAACAAGAGTAAACATGGAGTTAGGCCCACAAAAAAACTAAAGAAATATGAGTCTGAAAATTGCTATTATTAAGTAACAAGAACAGACATTCAAGAAACACTAAATGGTCAAAGCTAAAATGCTGTTTAAAAATAGTGTAAAAATGCCAAAAAAAACAGTTTCAAGTTTGAAAACAAGCCTTTGAAGAAGTTGCGATTTTTATCACAGAGAAAAACAAGTGATTTCTCGGCTCCATCTTCTAACAACAGTTTGTTTGTGCAGGCACTGTACCCGAGTCCAGAGGAAGGCTGGCAGATCTACAGCTCGGCGCAGGACGCAGATGGGAAGTGCATCTGCACCGTGGTCGCACCAGCCCAGAACATGTGTAGCCGTGACCCGCGCAGCAGGCAGCTCCGCCAACTCATGGAGAAGGTGACAGCTGCCAGTAAAACATGCACTCAGTCACACCAACTGTCACGCTGCGCCGAGATCGTGATAGTTCTACGAACAAGTAATTGGCAGAGTAGATGAAGAAGACGAAACACTCAGAAAGAGAAAAATAATTATGTCACTTCTCATAAAAGTAGGATAATAATTTGTTAAAAGAATATTGGTTAATAGATTTCCCGAACTAGTACCATTTGTATCAAGGCACTAAGAGTAGAAGCTATGAATTTTTTTCTCAACCAACCAGGGTCTACACCATCAAACTCATTTTGGTTCAGGGGCCACATACAGCCCGATCAGATCAGTCAAGTGGGCTGGGCCACTACAATCGTAACATAATTACCTATGAATAAAAATAAATCCATGTTTTCCTCCAAAGAAGTACAAGTAAATTTGGGAAAATATTAATATTTAATGAAATATCATTTAAAAAAACGTCACAGACATAAAATGTTTGTGCTTTTTTTTTTACTTTCAAAACTCATCAAGCGGGCCAGATTGAATCCCATAGCGGGTCGATTTTGGCCCACGGGCCGTATGTTTGTCACCTCAGGTCTGCCACAGGCCGTATGTTTGTCACCTCTGGTCTAGACTTATGACAACTGAACACTGCTCCATTACACGACTTCACTATTAACTGTCATATAAAACACAAATTAATGGAAGACAAAATCCCATACTGCAGAATCACATCATCAATACAGTTCCCCTTGAAGGGCTGGTTGTAAATGAAAGACTGTATACATCAGGGGTCCCCAACCACTGGTCCGCGGACCAGTACTAGACCATAGGTCTTTTGGTACCGGGCCACAGTGGAACACAGTGAAAAAATGTACTTCAGTTTTACTGATTTACTTCATTGAAAGAAAATCCAGTCATATCCATTTATTTTCTTTATTTAAAGATATTTTAAAATAATATGTCATCTCAGCACCTTGCTACCGGTATGTAGTAACAGGTGGTAGTGGCTGACCAATCCTTGGAACAAAAAAGGTTAGGGACCGCTGGTATAGATGTAACTACTCCATAACAGACTAATACATGTTTCTCAACCTAATTTCTTAGGTTGAGAAACTCTGCTGCCGGGACTTTACGAAATACTTTTTAAGCTCCCACGGGCCAAACAAAACGACTTGGCGGACCACATTTGGCCCCCAGGCCTCGGGTTTGACACGTGTGCTGTGCTGAGTTTAAAAAACAAGAGTGAAAAGCAGCTCGTACTCCATTGAAGTCAGAAACTGGATCCATTGCTTTGAGCATCGTTATAATATTTTTGAGGCCTTAAAGTATTCCCGCAACTGCAACGTCACGTTTGCCTAATGCATATACACAACAGACCTCAGCGAGGTAGGAGAGACTTCCTCCTCAACGGTAAACCTGCTGATCCGAAGCTCCATCGATTTGTGGTCCGTCGGTACAGTAACCATTAAATTGAATATTTAATACGCTGGCAAACATTGTTTCGAGGCTTCATCTAACAGTGTAAACCTCGTCTTGGTCGAGCACAGACCAAATATCTCCAGGTCTGCGGCAGCTCATTTACAGCGCCACAGTGTTTTTTTTGGGGGTTGGCAAACAGTGCCCCAGAAAGGGATAAAGAAAAGCTGCATCTACAGACAGTAGTAAAACAAGAATTTAGGGTGAGAGCAGAGGAGGATGTTTATGTGCTGCGACAAAGCTGTCCATCTTCTAACAACAGTTTGTTTGTGCAGGCACTGTACCCGAGTCCAGAGGAAGGCTGGCAGATCTACAGCTCGGCGCAGGACGCAGATGGGAAGTGCATCTGCACCGTGGTCGCACCAGCCCAGAACATGTGTAGCCGTGACCCGCGCAGCAGGCAGCTCCGCCAACTCATGGAGAAGGTGACAGCTGCCAGTAAAACATGCACTCAGTCACACCAACTGTCACGCTGCGCCGAGATCGTGATAGTTCTACGAACAAGTAATTGGCAGAGTAGATGAAGAAGACGAAACACTCAGAAAGAGAAAAATAATTATGTCACTTCTCATAAAAGTAGGATAATAATTTGTTAAAAGAATATTGGTTAATAGATTTCCCGAACTAGTACCATTTGTATCAAGGCACTAAGAGTAGAAGCTATGAATTTTTTTCTCAACCAACCAGGGTCTACACCATCAAACTCATTTTGGTTCAGGGGCCACATACAGCCCGATCAGATCAGTCAAGTGGGCTGGGCCACTACAATCGTAACATAATTACCTATGAATAAAAATAAATCCATGTTTTCCTCCAAAGAAGTACAAGTAAATTTGGGAAAATATTAATATTTAATGAAATATCATTTAAAAAAACGTCACAGACATAAAATGTTTGTGCTTTTTTTTTTACTTTCAAAACTCATCAAGCGGGCCAGATTGAATCCCATAGCGGGTCGATTTTGGCCCACGGGCCGTATGTTTGTCACCTCAGGTCTGCACTTATGACAACTGAACACTGCTCCATTACACGACTTCACTATTAACTGTCATATAAAACACAAATTAATGGAAGACAAAATCCCATACTGCAGAATCACATCATCAATACAGTTCCCCTTGAAGGGCTGGTTGTAAATGAAAGACTGTATACATCAGGGGTCCCCAACCACTGGTCCGCGGACCAGTACTAGACCATAGGTCTTTTGGTACCGGGCCACAGTGGAACACAGTGAAAAAATGTACTTCAGTTTTACTGATTTACTTCATTGAAAGAAAATCCAGTCATATCCATTTATTTTCTTTATTTAAAGATATTTTAAAATAATATGTCATCTCAGCACCTTGCTACCGGTATGTAGTAACAGGTGGTAGTGGCTGACCAATCCTTGGAACAAAAAAGGTTAGGGACCGCTGGTATAGATGTAACTACTCCATAACAGACTAATACATGTTTCTCAACCTAATTTCTTAGGTTGAGAAACTCTGCTGCCGGGACTTTACGAAATACTTTTTAAGCTCCCACGGGCCACACAAAACGACTTGGCGGGCCGCATTTGGCCCCCAGGCCTCGGGTTTGACACGTGTGCTGTGCTGAGTTTAAAAAACAAGAGTGAAAAGCAGCTCGTACTCCATTGAAGTCAGAAACTGGATCCATTGCTTTGAGCATCGTTATAATATTTTTGAGGCCTTAAAGTATTCCCGCAACTGCAACGTCACGTTTGCCTAATGCATATACACAACAGACCTCAGCGAGGTAGGAGAGACTTCCTCCTCAACGGTAAACCTGCTGATCCGAAGCTCCATCGATTTGTGGTCCGTCGGTACAGTAACCATTAAATTGAATATTTAATACGCTGGCAAACATTGTTTCGAGGCTTCATCTAACAGTGTAAACCTCGTCTTGGTCGAGCACAGACCAAATATCTCCAGGTCTGCGGCAGCTCATTTACAGCGCCACAGTGTTTTTTTTGGGGGTTGGCAAACAGTGCCCCAGAAAGGGATAAAGAAAAGCTGCATCTACAGACAGTAGTAAAACAAGAATTTAGGGTGAGAGCAGAGGAGGATGTTTATGTGCTGCGACAAAGCTGTTTATTAAAAAAAAGAAAGAAAAAAAAAAGATGCCGTAAGGGCGGAATCTACTGAATTTGAATTTCATTCATAAAAAGCTTTGCCACTGATTGGAATGATCTCTCTGTTACATTGTGTCTCTTCATTCAATATTTGAAGAGACGAGATTTTTTTTTTCTTCTACTATTCGGTCTGACCAACACTTTTATTAAAAAAAAGAAAGAAAAAAAAAGATGCCATAAGGGCGGGATCTACTGAATTTGCATTTCATTCATAAAAAGCTTTTCCACTGTTTGGAACGATCTCTCTGTTACAGTGTGTCTCTACATTCAATATTTGAAGAGACAAGATTTTTTTTGGTCTGACCTACACCTCACCAGACTCTTCTATTGTGTGGCCCGCGAGAGCTTAAAAAGCCTGGCTTAAAATATTACCTGGTAATATTTTTAGTGTATAAGTTGCTGGTATCAGCATTCTGCATACAAGCCCCTCTATTAGAATAAATTAATAAAACAATGCTGCCATCTAGTGGTTTTTACTTTGACCTACAGCTGTTTTTCCCCCAAAACTGTTTTTAGGGCAGAAATCATTTGGCGAAACCCAGACAGTGCGTTATCGGGTTTTCATAATCTGAAGAACAACCAGTAAAGATTACATATATTACTTAACTATGCTAATATCGGGCCGATAATATCGGTGGGGAATATTATCAGACATCCCTGGTTATTTTCTATATTGAAAATATGGCTTTACTTACTGTATAATATATATGCTATAGAATGATCTAACACAGCAAACAGTCTCACTCCTAAATTTCGATTGAACGAAAAAGATCAGGTGACAAACCAAGGACCTCGGCTTTAAGGAGTGGATCCTGTTTGTTTTTTTTTCTGTTGCCATTTCCTCGGTTTGAATGAGACGTTTGGGAAATATGTTGCACCAAATACCCTGCCAACACATTTGTGGGAAACGATAGACTGAACACACCGACTCTGTGGGTCTCTGACTATTAAATCTCACTTCCGCCATTGGAAGTCCATCTGCTGATGGGTTCCTTGTAGCTCTTTCTTTAAAGAACCTCCAAATAGCTGCTGCCCGTGGTTCCTCTCGTTCGCGCTCTGTGCACTTGAATGCCTGGAACTCGTTGCTGCGGTACTTCTCTGGAGAGCCTCGTGAGCTGCTCTTTTTTTCCATCAAAGGCCAGCTTTTTTTTTAATCTAGGATCAAGAATGATGGCATTCTGACAGAATAGTGTTATATTCCATTCAGTGGAAACTTTGTTTCCATGGTTGCACAGAGCAAATCTAATAACTGCTTCACTTTTCCTATGTTTACACGGTCACTATCTGCAGAGCCTTGCGCAGCATTATCATTTTGAAAGGTTGTGACAGCGGGGGGGCCGAGGGGGGTGTACAGTATATACCGTGAAGGTCAGTGTAGAAACAGAGCCTACGTCAAACATGACCAATCACGTGTAGATTTAAAAGAAAAGGAGAAAAAGCAAAGGTCATCCATACGAAGAGTTGGGTTGTTAGCACCTGATCACTGAATTTGCTGATGAAGCAAGCTTGCGTCGTAGCTCGCTGCGAGCTGAAGACACAGACACGGAGCGAGGTATTCAAGAGAAATGTTGGACAATGGCCACCGCCAACTAGAAAAAAAGGAACTATTATTAATTATTCATATTTAAAATGATAATAATTTCCTAAAGATGAAGTGTTTGTGTATTTTTTGTTTTTGTTTTTAAAATTTATCAAGCGGGCCAGATTAAACACCTCAGGGTGCCAGTTTGGGACCGCGGGCCGTATGTTTGACACCCCTGGTCTAAAGTCATTCCAGACAAGCTAGCCATGTCAAGGATTAAATACGGTCATATTAGGGAGGCACGGCGTACGCAGCTCCATTTCACCGTGTGTCAACATGAAGCCTTAACAATAAACATTCAAGCCAAGACTTGATCTTGGACTGAAATATCAGCGTCATAAAAACAGTCAATAGAAAGATTGACTTTTATATCCCCTGCAAATATATATCATTTATTATCCAACTGAATTCTGCAAACAGCCCGGCTGCCTCGGTTGCAGTGTGCACATTATCTGGAGAAAACGTGTTCTCAGAGCCAAAGGCCTCTCTGTATATTCCAGTTCACAGCCCAGTCTAATGAGGACACCCAGGGTGAATCCCCCATCTTAGTTACACACAAACACAAAGCCTATGTTCAATGACTGACTATGTGGGCGTGTGGGTGCATCACACTAAAAACAGAATTAACAAAGACCACAGGGATCATTATAAAAACCAGAACGTGTGCGGGAATTCTTTTCTTACCAGATCTACAAAAGCTCTCCCTCACATAGAGACGCTAACAATATTCCAACAATCGTTTCTATCTTGAAATGATCTAAAGCAGCTGACGCAACTGAGCACAACACAAGCTTTGGTTGTGTGTGCGTTAACACAACAACACAAGCTTTGGTTGTGTGTGCGTGAGCACATATATGTGTGATTAAATATTACATAAGATTATGTATATTTTAAAAACCTTAAAGTTTAAATTTCTCTCTGGACTTTGGTGTAAGATTGCATGTGGTTTGTTACGTTTTTTTAGAAACCTTGGAAGGCTGTTTACACCACGACTCTCCACTCATCCAGGGCAGGGGTTCTCAAACCCAGGTCCGTGGACTGGTACCGGTCCATAGGTCATTTGTTACTAGGCCACAGTGGTACACAATAAAAAACGTGGACTGGTACCGGTCCATAGGTCATTTGTTACCAGGCCACAGTGGTACACAATAAAAAAAAGATAAAGGAACCCCAGGGTTCACCTCCTGGGCAAGTTCGAATCCCGGTTAGGGTGGTTGGTACCTTCCAGTGGACTCACCACCTGCAGGAAAGTTTAGGGGAGTTGGTACGGTGCAGTGGGATTTGGGTGGCGACTGCTGCACCCGCGACCCGGTAACAAATAAGAAGAAAATGGATGGATGGATGGATGGATGGATGGATGAAAATATTAGGTCATCCAGACTCCGATACTAACAGAATAAAGTCTAAAAAATGCTTTGTTTTGAAAACGTAACGATCCTTCAATCAGTGCGGTGCTACTGGCCCCTACTGGCTGACCAGTCCTAGGTACAAAAAAGGAATGTGATCTGCCAATCCCAATACCTCGTACAACACAATCCAGGTTCCACGCTGGTGGAATGACCTAGCAAACGCTACTAGAACAGGGGCATCAAAAAGCTCGGAGAGACCCAGCTCTTCAGAGAGCACCTCTTGTCATAGCACTTTGCTCTGTAATTCCCTTCTCGTTCCGCACTTGTCTCCACTTCTGCACTCTCACCCTCTGGGAACCCCTCCTCCCGAACTACCTAACTGGTTTCCTTTCAAGAGTTCCTCTTTGTAACTTGACTGTTAGACCTCCTTTTGTAAGTCACTTTGGATCAAAGCATCTGCTAAATGCACCGATGTAAATGTTAGCTTGTGAGTTGTGAACGGTTAATGAGACTCAGAAGTCCAAAGAGTTGTTTAGGTCTCTAGTGGTTTAAATCGTTTTCCTCGTTGCCCAACTGACTGCCTGGTAATCTGTTGCCATACACAGTCAATACAGTTTTGTGTATAATGACTGCTATAGGTAGCTAATAGGTTTGCTAATATCTTAGCAAAAAAGGGTTTTTTAGCCAAAACATTAGCTAAATGCTATTTAAAAATTTAAAAGGTGAATATAGAAAGGTGAAATATTATCCAAAATAATAGCAAAAAAAAAAGCAAAAAATTATCTGGTGTATACAAGTGTAGTGGTAGTTATAACAAATATTATTTGTATCCAAGCTGATACCTTAATATATCTGTGAATCAGCAAATCTATCTTAATATTAGATATAATATTCCAGAACCTAAGCGTGAATGATGAAATAGTTTAAACTACATAAATATTATAAACAAAAAGCCTCATCAATTAAATTGTAATTTCTTGCCGTCATGCGGCGCCACAAAAGTTAATTCAAGAAAGGAGACATGGGTATAAATCCAGTTACCGCTTCCAGTGCTAAAAGAAAAAAAGGCGATAAGCTAGATATTGTTAACTGCCGACTGCACTCGGAGAGATTGAGTGGGCTGTCAGAAACTTTGAAAAAAAACATTTGTCCTGGAGCAGACTCAATGCCAAACGGTGACCTTTGTGATTAGGGCCTGTTTGTTGTTACAGCAGAGATTTAAAGAAGTTCTGCTGCACATTTGCAGTTTGAGTTTGTTTTTCTCTCATCTCTCGTGTGGGCTGGTGCGGACACGAGTGTACACGTAAGCCTCCTCCTACAAGAGTCTTCTGAACACTTTTACCGCTAAAAACTGTTCACTTCAGGTTTAAATGAGTTCAGATCTGCACGCTGTAGGTTTAGGGGGCGTATGAAACAGTTGTCCAGCGACTGAGTGGGCCGTCAACGAAAATGTGGAACATTTACACTTTGTCAACATCTCATCTCAGGGCATTTGCAACAAAAACAAAAACACTTTTGACCTTTCGACTGCTACTAAATCTACTTCTTTCGACTACTAACTTTAAATTGACTAGCATGGAATTTTTTAACTCTTCTCCGGCTATTCAGTAGTCAGACATACACAAAAGGGCTTCTTTGTGGTCTTGTTTCATGTGTTAAATTGTCTAAACAGAGGCCAAACAGGAACATCAATGAGGATCAGATCTGAGCACGGACTCTTCACACACGATATTTTGGCCAGGCAAACCCGATCTTGAATTTATAAACTGTATCTTGGCTACAAGAAAAAAATTAGGGATTTGCTCGTTTACAATCCGATACCTTCTTGTCTCATCTGTCTATCTATCCATCCATCCATCCATCCATCCATCCATCCATCTATCCATCTATCCCTTCAGGCTGTAGATTCTACATGACTCCATCTGTAAATCATACATTTGAACAACTGACTCCTACGATTCAGTTCGGAGATAGTTTAGATCTTTAAGATAGTGGGAACAGGCAGACCTTATAGTTCACATTTGGAAAAAAAAAAACATCAAAGAATCTGCAAAGTTTCATGGATATGTATTTTTCCTGTGTTTTTAGACCTTGAATTTAGACTTAGGTAGCTCTATGTTGACTAATGGATTGTGTGCTCTCAGCCTGTGCAGCCTCACGGAAATATAAGCCGTAGTTGTTAGGACTGCTACATATCTATTCAAATCTGAATATGTACACAGGACAGATTACTTAATACATAAGAAGTTTTACCATAATTATAAGGGAATTGCACACTGATAGCGTGATGTGAATCCACTCCTAATATATATTGACTTTTACGTACATATATGGACATACTCTGCATTGAAACTGACTGTTTTGTGTATTTGTGTGTATGTTTTCGAATGTGTGTGCTGGTGTAAATGTCAATGTATGTGTGCGTGCATACGTGTGTGTGTGTTTGTGAGACATTGATAGGTCCAGAACATCAGTCAGTCAATGGAGGTGCTGGACCTGAGGACATACAGGGACCTACAGTATATGAGGAACACGGAGACTCTGATGAAAGTGGTGGACGAAAAGTTGAAGGTGGCGTCGGAAAATCACCGTGGTATGAACCCAAGGGGCTTTCAGGTAAATGTTAGAGCTTAAAGTATTGAAATTAAAATTTGAATACAAGTACGTGCCCGCTCTTATGACTAAAAAGGGACTCTTTGACCTCTTCAAGTTAAAAGAGTTTCACCAAGTCCTTCAAGATGCATAAATTGTAATAGCTTTGCAGTTTGAAATGTGTTGTATTTGAAGTGTAATAATAGCTGCCAGCTGCTAATGCCTCAAGAAACGGTTCAGAGGCTGTGGTACTGTCAAAAAGACAGCACTCTGACAGCGAGTGTGAAGTGTTATTGTAGAACACCTGACACAGCACAATACCACGGTTGTTACAAGCTGTAGGCTGCAATCCGGCATTAGAGCAACTAGGCCGATTAAAAACTCCGAATAATTTGACTCAAATGAATAAAAAAATAAAATAAAATATGCTACAATTCTGGAGATAGTGTTATACAGGGGTCTCGGATTAACGTCCGACTTCCAAACCTATGATGCGACGTAAAGTAATTTTTGCGGTAAATCGAAATTCACATACTGTAAGTACCTATGTTACTCAGCTACGCTAACGCAGTGGTGGCATCGTAATCTAGGACATAAAAAAAACATCAGAAGAGTCCGACTTATGTTTGGGAGCCATAATGAAGGGCAACAAGTTCCAAAAAAACAACACAAACAAAAGAAAGTGAATGTCGCAAAATCTAATGTATTGTGTACAAACAGCGAATGTGAACAAAACTGTCTTCCGCGTATACGATGTTTGCTCCGCCTAACTAGACGGCGATTTTTCATGGTGGAACAACACTCTCTTTAACACGTTTATGGGAGATAAAAACGTAGCTACGTAACGCCATAGGTCGAGGACGTCGTAAACCGAGGACACCTTGTTGAGGGAGAATGAGAGACTTGGACATATAAAGTAAACACGTCTGTAATTTCATCTCATTCTTTGCTTGAAAAAGATAGTGAATGTAATTGACAAGTTAAAGCTGTCTGACAAGACGGAACAAAAGGAAGAACCCGAAAGAAGATCCATTGACAAAGTACACACTAAGCAGAAAGGAAGTTGTTGATGATTCACACAAACAACCTTTGAAGAAAGTTCCACTTAAACTATGTGATTACTGGGAAATGACTAAGAAATGTTTTTCAGTACGTGTAATTTTTCTCTTGTAAATGCATATTTATATTTTATGACCAATTTTGGAAGCCGGTTTATACAAATGTAATTTCTTTTGAAAAACAAAGTTGGTTCAAATTCTCCTGAATTATGAAACTTGGACAGTGCCGTAAGTGCTTTTGTTTATAACTATGTTTTGATGTCCGTTCCCATATTCGTTCAGCCGGCCTCCTTTGAACTCCTCTCTGACGCCTCTCAAATAACAGACGCATATATTCCCATTTATCGCCGCCTTATCTCCGCAGTCTCCCAACGCAACTGCCATTACCTGTAGGTCATTTTGTCTTCCTGTCAGTGGTCCGTCCTGCCCAGACGTTCTCCACATTCCTCACTCTCTGTACAGATAAAAATATACATGTTAGCAGGTTCTCAAAAGTATTTCAATTCGCAAGGGTATGGGTTGGGGGGAAGCGTGAAAACATTTTTGTGCCCAAGGGGGGGGGGCATGATAGAAAATAATTGTTTCTTTTTTTATTATTTCTTTCAGTAAGAAAATAAATCTGTTGCGGTCTGTTCAAATTCCATTTAATTCCATTTATGGTTAAAGCATCATCAGTACTAGACTGTTCAAGAAATGTTGATCCTGTTCAGCTAAAAAGTGAGACTGAGTATCCAATTTTGGCCCCTTGAGTGATTGAGTTTGACAAGCCAATCGAAGATTCAGCCCATGTGTCATTTTAATCCAGCTGAAAGTACAATGCTTTTCAATTTTTTATGCAAGAATCAGCTTGTCAAGAACAACGAGCAGCACTCTATTTCAGGGGTGTTCACATTTTTTGGCATGGGAGCTACTTTTCAAATAATCAGGCTTTCATTTTTAATTTACTAGTAGAAACTGAATAGATTTCATACATATTTATATACATATATATGCATATAAATATATATAAAATGATCCATTGCCTGGTACCGGTCCCTGGCCCATCCCTTGGGCACCACTATGATGCCCCTATTTGAGAGATTAAGCTAATGTGCTAAGCTAACTGTACGTACAGACCACCTAACAGGTTCTTCTGTTTACGTTTTTCCTTACAACAACATCCTCAGGAGTTGAAAGACAAGGTCAGCCAGCTGCTCCCACTGCTGCCTGTGCTGGAACAGTACAAGGCAGACACCAAGATGATTCTGCGTTTACGAGAGGAAGTCAGAAATCTGTCGGTGGTTCTGATGACCATCCAGGAGGAGATGGGAGCCTACGATTACGAGGAACTGCGACAGAGAGTCTTGCTGCTGGAGACAAGGCTCCACTCCTGCATGCAGAAACTAGGTACTGTAATTTAGAGCTAATGTTAGCATTAGCCCTGGAGCAGATCACTAAGTCTCCCCTGTGCATTCCAACTACAGTCGGGGCTCTGAAGCAGTAACGTGTAACTAGCCATGTTACAGGCACTGTTCGGAAAAAAAACATTTATTTAATTAAAAGTGAAAAAAATATTTCCGTGTAAATATCCCATGTTACAACGTGGACACCTGCGGCTTATAGAGAAGTGCAACTTACATATGTACAATTTGATTTTTCTTTTTAAATTTAGTGGGTGCGGCTTATATTCAAGTGCGCTAGGTAGGAATCCGGAAATTACGGCATATACAGTACCAATGTTCGCAATGGCTCTGAAGTACCTCCAGGTGTTAAATGCATTATTTCCTCCTTGAATCACCTCAAAAACGATCCTTCATTTACTATCAGCACTTTGACAATTATCCGTCTGCCAGCATCTCAGCCTGAGATGAATTAATAATGAAATGATCGTCTCTGCTGAAAACACAAGCCACACAGCGTCAGCATTTCCTCTCCCATTTCACAAATGTTGCAGTAAAACC